CAAGCAAGCTGCGCAAAAATGCGGCTCGCAATGCTGAGTTGCCTTTGATAGCCGTGCTCAGAACTGATCAAGGCCTGAGTTCCAAGCCTCGACCAGCCCCGATCTCACTCGGCCCCAGAGCTTTATAACATTCGAGAGCATGCCGATCGCCCAGTCATCTCGCTGATTTGGCTTGGGCAAGAGGGCAGAAATCGTGGCAAAAATCTGTTATGGCCACACTCCTTCACATTCGACGAGACTTAAAAAGGGCGGCCAACTCTTCAACTCCCTGCTCTGGCAAGCGCTGCACATCGGCCACTCGGAGAACGTCTATACCTGGGGCGTTCTTGGCGGGGGGCCGATACCAGAGAGAGGAGAGGTGGGAGGCCTCGATGGGGCCCAGGGGGTCCTCGCCAGCCCTTCGGAGCGCTCCCGAGATGGCCTCTCGCAGGGCTGTTGGGGTATCTACAGGATCCGTCCACCTCTGCTGCCACGCAGCCTGCTTCTCGGCCATGATGGCCGTGGGATCCGAAACGACCTCCCCTGGAGAAAGCGATTCCAAGGGGGCAGGCGGATCTTGCTTAACATGTCGGTGCAGGATGCCTGGCTTCTTTTTCCACTGCTCCTTCGCCCAGCACTCAAAGGCACGGCGAGACGAGGCAATCCCTCGAGCGCGCGCGCAAGCTGCGAGTCTATCCGCAGCCTCGACAAGCGCTGAAGATCAGAATCGCTCTGGAGGCTGAGATCATATAAGCACGCGATCGTGGTGTCGCCAAGCTGCTGCATGTCTTTGCCTATAAATCCAGACATGTCTTGCCCGTCAAGCTGCCCACATTGCTTGCGCAGCTTGCTCATGCACTGCCCTAGCTGTCTCTCGCCGTCGCCAGAGAGCCGTAGGGAAACACATCTCTTGAGGAGCGTGGTGGAAATCGCCCACCATTCAGCGGGGCCGTTTACCAGGTGGGCTCTGGTGAGGCCCTCGCTTTCTGTCAGAACAAGGAAAACCCCTGGGCGCGTCCCTAGAACGGTCCCCATTCCTCCTCCTCAACTCTGGACGCCGTCAGAATGGAAACCTCCACTCTAGCGACCCAGCGAGCGTAGCAATCGTTGACTCGCTGCGTCGCCTCGGGCCGCGACGCATGCAGAAAATGGCGAGCAAGTCCGTTGCCCTCCAACTCCAGGCCAACTAGCGGCACGGCAAAGGCAAGCGGCTCGCCTACAAGCAAGCTAGCCTGCGTCCACACCTCAGCGGAGACACGGTACTCGACTCCGTCCTCCTGAGGTGCATTCGGCGCTGGTGGAGGATGGGCCAGATCAAAAGCCTCCCGCAGCTCTGGAGCCAATCTGCCGCGCCGAGCTAGCCGTGCTTCTTCTCGACGCAGGGAACTCTTGCTCGTGGGGTCGGCTTCCTTCTTGGGCCTATCCACTTGCGGCAGCTCCTTCGGCAGGCGCAACTTCCTGTGCCAAATCGGCTGCTCGGACCTCTCGAACGAGACCGCGATGCCGCAATGGGTCTTCCATGGCACTGCGAGCACTGGGGTGAGGGTCACCCTGTCCTTCAGGCCCTCGCTGACGATCGCGAAATCGATCATGGAGCCCTGCCCTTTGTCGCATGTGATGGCACATGGCGGGGTCAGCACCACCCCCCGAAGGAACTCCTGGATGCGGGCCTGCGCGATCTGCGATGGGGAATGGTTCCAGTCGCCCATGATCACGTACGGGTCCGCCAAGCTCCTCACCACGAACGAGACAAGCGCCCTCAGCGTCTTCTCGTTGGGCCCCGTGGTGAGCCCGAACTTGGGAGCGAGGTTGGTACAGATCATAACCACATTGCCACCATTGATGTGCCAGACGAGGGCCGAGAAACCGTGAAAGGGGCTAGCTGCACCGCTGGCGCGGTACTTGGTGAGGTACTCGAAGGAGGAGGTCGCCACATGGATACGTGCCAGGATGGCCTCACCTGCTGATGTGCCTGTCACTGATCGCCCACTCGTCCTGGCAGGCGTGGCGACCATCTTCCAACCGTCCTTCCTCACCGCTGCCTGCACCTCGGCGGTACGCTCTTGAGATGAGTTTCGACGAAGATGCACAAGTTAAACTCCGTCTGGCTCGCCACGTACTTGTGGATCTTAGTGCCCCACTCTGTGATGTTGCCGTACAGCGCCGAGACGCGATGACGACCATCCCGAGGTCGGTCCATCAGCTTGGGCACGTCCAGCTTCGTCAAGGAGGCCACCTGCTCTCGCTTGGACTCCGCCTTGGGCCAGGTCTGATGCTGCTGCTTCGGGGAGGCCACCTGCTCTACCACCGTCGCCTTCTCCAGCATAGGCTCGGCCACCTGCTCAATGCCATGTGCTAGAGGCTCTTGGATGTCCCCTGCTTGTACACTATCGAGGTACTCGTCCAAATCAGCAAAGGGATCATGCTCTTCTGCAGCTGGGCCTTCGCGATCTCCCTGAGGGCTCCACCCGTCGGCGGCCCTGGAGACGCGCTCATCGGGAAGGAGGGCCTCGGCCACCCGCGCGTCCGCGGCCTCCTGCATCCGATGGTGGGCCTCGTTGCTGCTCTCATGCCGCGTTTGTGAATATTCCTGCCTGTTCTCCTTCGATCTCGAAGGGCGTCCTGACTGTGTGTTTTTCGAAGCTGCATCTAGCGCCGGTGGGGATGAGGGTGTCGCTGTCGGCGATTCCGCCCACGTCGATGTAGGGAGAGCCGTCGAAGGGGTACCAGCGTCCCACTTCTCGACACCGTCGTCGTAGTAGTACTCGATAGGCTCGTCTGCAGGTGCTCGGTCCTGGAGCGTGGCACGGAAAGCCTCGATGACTCGACGCGCTGCATCCCATATCTCCGAGACTGCCTTCCGCGAGGACAAGGAGGAGGAGGACGAGGAGGAGGAGGAGGAGGACGAGAAGGGGAAGGGCGAGGAGGACGAGGAGGACGAGAAGGAGGACGAGGAGGACGAGGAGGAGGAGGACGAGGAGGACGACGAGGAGGAGGACGAGGAGGACGACGAGGAGGACGAGGACGAGGAAGAGGACGAGGACGAGGACGAGGAGGAGGAGGAGGAGAAGGAGGACGAGGAGGAGGACAAGGAGGAGGACGAGGAGGACGACGAGGAGGAGGACGAGGAGGACGACGAGGACGAGGACGAGGACGACGAGACGAGGACGAGGACGAGGACGAGGACGAGGACGAGGAGGAGGAGGAGAGGAGGAGGAGAGAGGAGGGAGGGAGGAGGAGGAGGAGGAGGAGGAGGAGGAGGAGGGAGGACGAGACGAGGACGAGGGAGGAGGAGAGGAGGAGGGAGGAGGAGGACGAGGACGAGGACGAGGAGGAGGAGGACGAGGAGGACGAGGAGGGAGGAGGAGGAGGAGGAGGAGGAGGACGAGGAGAAGGACGAGAGGAGAGGACGAGGAGGAGGAGGAGGACGGGAGGAGGACGAGGAGGAGGAGGACGACGAGGATGACGATGAGGAGAAGGAGGAGGAGGAGGACGAGAAGAAGGGGAGGACGTGGAGGAGGACGAGGAGGACGAGGAGGACGAGGAGGACGAGGAGGACGAGGAGGACGAGGAGGACGAGGAGGACGAGGAGGAGGACGAGGAGAAGGACGAGGAGGACGAGGAGGAGGACGAGGAGGAGGAGGAGGACGAGGAGGACGAGGAGGACGAGGACGAGGAGGAGGACGACGACGAGGAGGACGAGGAGAAGGAGGAGGAGGAGGAGGAGGAGGAGGACGACGACGACGACGAGGCGAGTCGTCGTCGTCGTCGTCCTCCTCCTCCTCGGGTTCGGGCCCCAGGACTCTCACAGATCGATCCAGCTCAAAAAATGACGCAGAAAGATGGGTTCCAGGGCTCTTGTCGTAATGTTCGGCGATGTGGAAACTTTTTGTTGCAGCGTCGGATCTCAGGGCTGCTTCCTTCCGCTCCCCAACGCTTGACAGCGCGGCCACACGGCCTCTGCCGGCGCTGTCCTGTCCGAACCTCCTCGGGCGCGACCTCACCAACCCCTAGCAAACCATCCCACTCCGTAACGTCACACTGCCTTGCAAGCTTCCCTCTGGCCACATACATACCTCTTGGGGCGGGGCGAGGAGGGCGTCACGGAAGGGGATGGTTTGCGAGGGGTCGGTTATAGGGAACTCACCAAGGACGTACGCGCCCAACCACGTACATGAACACGGCCCCCCAACCCGCGAGACCGCCCGCGTGTTACGAACGTCCGCGCGATGCGTCCTGTCGAAACCCACGTAACGTGGACTCATGCACGTGTACGTCCCTCTTTCGCTCCTGAGGTTACGCCGCCCCTGACCTTCTCCACCAGTGCGGACCCGCCAGGATCCCCAGACACCGCGGCGGCTCCAGACGGCCTGCATCGTACCGAGCCTCGAGCCCACGGCCCGCAGGACTGCCCTGCGCCCTCCTGTGGAGCGGGGGTCCCTCCACGCCTCTGTCCTTGTCTCGTCGATCCTCGCCGTGCTCGCCGGCCGCTCCTCCCCCGCAGTCCATCGACGGAGAAGACCGGAGACGGGAAGCGGAGGGGGCGCAGAGGGGAGGAGAGGTCGCGCGGGCTGGTGCGAGGCCGCGGGGAGGATGCCGAGCAGACAGGGGAGGGCGCGGGCGGGAACGGGGCACGTTTCACAATCGCCAGCGCCAGCGAAGGCAGGCGCGGCCATCGGTGCGGGACTGGGGCACAGCGAGGCCCAGGCCCCCGGCGCCACAAAGTTTCGCAACGTCGACCCCCAGAAGTCTCGGCCAAATTCCCTGGGACCGGTTTCTCATGCTGGGTCGTTTTCTGACGGCCCCGAAGCCTGGCAAGGGCCCCCGGAGGCCAGAAGCAGAGAAAAACCTCGCGTCGTAATTTCCCCATTGCCCGAGGGGACCTGGGCTCAGAGACCCCCGAATGGTCCTTCCCGATCCCGACCCTCTCCTGGGGGCCTGGGGGGCGGGGCCAGGAGAGGCAGCGGAAACCCGAGCCAAGGGCGGGAAGCGAGGGCGTAGGAAGCGCGGGCGGGCGGGGCCTCGTTCTCGCGCGCGCTGCCGCCGCAGCTGCTCGTAGACGGAGTACAGGGACCCCGCGGGTCGGACTCTCTCGGGCCCGAAGTCCTCCCGGTAGGTGTCCTCGCGGAGCCGCAGCCACCGGCGGCGAGCGCGGGAGAGGAAGCGAGATATCGGGCGGGCCTTCTCGGAGGGATCGGAAGTCCTCTGGCCCCGTCTGTGAAGTTTCCCAAGGCTTCCCCGAAGACGCAGGAGACCTCTCAGAAGGCCAGAGGCCTTCCGAGAAGTTTCGCCGCCTTCCGAAAAAAATACTTCTCCTCCTCATTTCCCCCCCTTTGTTCGCCGCCGAAGCCACCTCGGATGCACCAGCAAAAATCCATGGGCAGGACAACGCGAGCCGAGAGCTCGAGGCAAACCTTTTCAGTGGTTCTATTCAGCGCAGCGCGCCCACGAGGCAGCGATCCCTCGTGCAGAATGCGGGCCCGCGCTCCCAAGGCCACAATGCCTCGCAAGAGCCTTCCCGGGAGATCATTAGCCACTTCTGGCGGCCATTTGTTTCCGATCTTGGGGCCAAGAGAGGGAACGACGAAGGGTACGACGACGACGACGACGACGACGACGACGACGACGACGACAAAGAGGGGAGGATGCCGGTGGGTTGGCCGCGCCAGAACCCCGCAGGCGTCCTGCGCGCCTGGCTGGGAAGACCGTCTTCCCGCATGGGCTTCCTGGCAGCTGCCTTTGGTCACGCGGCGTGCACTGCCGAGCGCGCTCGGGCGCGCTCGGGGAGCGCCCGCGGTGGGCTCGTGGACGGAGCGCGGGAGGGGCACCACCCCGGGCACTTGCGCAAGGAAAGCAATGGATGATGCGCAGGGTTGCAACAAAAACCAAAAACCCAGGGTTGCAACCAAAAACCCAGGGTTTTTGTTGCAACCCTTCGTTTGTTGCAACCCTTCGTTCAAGGGTTTTTGGTTTTTGGTTTTTGTTGCAACCCAGGGTTTTTGTTGCAACCCTTGGTTTTTGTTGCAACCCTTTGTTGCAACCCTAGGGTTTTTGTTGCAACGTTTCTGGATGAGCTGGTGGGGACACTTTTTTTTTCGCAAGCGATACGGAGGTGCCGCACGCCGTCCAAGTCATAGTGCGCCAGCTGCGGCCCAAATTGTGCAGGAGAGGGCGAAGATGAGCATCGGCTGGTGGGGATGCGCGAAGCGTCAAGGAATCTTATTGTAAACATGATATCGGCGCACTCCTGTGACCTCGCAAAACAAAGGAGGCGATGAAAAATGCGCAGGAGGAAGAGGATGTAGGACATGAGGAAGGATGATGCAAGAAAATAGGAGTGGTAATGATACCGAGATGCATGTGCCTTTGGATATCACTAGCAATTTAGCTATAAGTCTCAAAATCCATCGGTCTCAACCACGGGACAGGCACAGGACAACCATCGGACACCGATCGCAACCACCACGAGACAACCACGGGACAACCATGGGACAACCACAGGACGATCGTGGGACAATTCCGCACACGCCCCAGCCAACCTGGGGGGCCACTTTGTCATGCCCTGGGCCTAGCTATGGCAGGAACTTGCGCAATTTCGCCTTGCCTCGACAAGAACCGAAACCGAAACCGACTTCCTGGTTGCGGCGTTCCGTTGCACTCGGTCTCACACCATCAACCCGCGATTGCTGTGAGACTTGTTTAACTCGATTAGATGTGGGCGTATTCGCTCTCACTATATATCTCTCATTTTCTGTACTTCTTTCGCTCGCAAAGCCTGCGCCAACGAATGGACGGCGCAGGGATAAATACACGTTGACATGCAAGCGCAGCTTCTTCTCATGTCAGGGCCTCAACCCGGTGAACGAGGGCGCCGGCTCTTGGATAGAAGCCCCAACCAATACCACCGGCACCGCTCTTGCGCGTGACCCTCGGCGCGCCACCGCCTCGATTGCACCCTGCCGCTGCGGAGCACCGGCCGGCACGCGCGCCCACCTCAGCGTGCACTGTCCACGCGCGAGCTGGCGAGACCAGCTCCTGGCAGCGAGCAACGCTGGAAGCATGAGTTCCTCGCGTCCACGGTGCGATTGGCCAGGTAATCGGCGCGTGCGTTCCCAGCCCGCCCTCGCCAGAAGACGGCATCGTCCACATCGCGCGCGGAGCGCCAGCCGCCCCTTCAGAGATGGACGATGCTGCGCGCAATGCATTGAGCTGGAATGCTGGATCTACGGCCGGTTTCACAAGGCTGGTTGTGCCGATGACCATTCCAGGCAGGGGCAAGCAATCCGTGACGAAGACGGAACGTCGAGCGAAACTGTCCCAAAGTATATCCAGAGCTGCGTGCCCTTGGTGTCCAGTGAGGTGCTCTAGAAGAAGCGTAGCTGCCCTCTGTCGTTTTGGTTGTGATGGGACGGCGTCTGCTGCCTGCGGGATCGAGCCAGCACTCGCTCGGAAGAGCCGCCAAGACTTGGAGACACGACTCGAAGACAGGAAATTTGAAACACCAGTCGGCTTCACGGCTGCACCGGTCGCGATGTAGTTCCCGCCATTCGAGGCCGAAGACCTTCACAAAAACTTCCTCCCATTCGACCCGATGCCCCACTCCGAAGTGTACGAGGCCCTCCTTCCTCCTCTTCCCCTCGCTGCCCAAGAGGTAGGTATTCCCACCACCTCCGAGTGCGGCATTGCCGCGCCAAAAGTGCAGGTTATTGCAGCCACAACTCAGGCGATTGCTTCTCCCGCCACGCATTTTCAAGCACCTCGAACAAGATGGCTGCGCAGCGGCTTCGTCTGGGTCCGCGCGAAGCAGTTTTCCAAGATGCGCGCAGTGCGATCCATGAACTGCGCGTGCCCTTCGCCGGGCTTCCGTTGGAACTAGAACATGCACCTCAACAGGTTGAACTTCCATCCTTCACTCTCAGAAGCACCTGTTGGGAAACATGCCAGGGCGATGAGCCAAAGAGGCACTGGCAGAGGGGCCTCTCGACCAAGCTTTGACTTGATTCGTCACGTTCCCCAGGCCCTGCAGGACCTTCACGTCGGTCGAAAAAATGTTCCCCTTTGCCGAGTCTGTGGTCGATGCTCGTTGCAGTGTCCGCAGCGTTGCTCAAGAGAACGCCCCCTAGAAAAACATTCTCTACCAGATGGAATGCGTGCAGACTATAACCCATCACCATGACTGGCTCGATTGGCACTGATGCTACAGGCCCACAGAGCATGAGCTCGAGAGAAGACGACTTCCACCGAAATGTCATGATCGATATTTCCTGTAGTCACCTCCTGCACCGAAAATTCATGTTCGATGTTGCCGTACTCTCCCTCTCTCTCTCGTTCCCTCTCTTTCTCTCCCTCTTTCTCGCACTGTCCAAGTGAACGTCAACCGAACGAGAAGAAACATCTCGACCAACAACTGAGGCGAATCCAGCCGCGGCGACGAAGTGGGGCCATGACGCCCACGACGGAGCACGCTGCATAGTCCCCCCTCCCTCCCGCTGTCTTCTTCTCCCCCCCCCCAGGTCCGCGGGTCCGAGTCCCACTCGTACTCCGCGCAGAGGTAAGCGTCCCTGCCCGCCTCGTCGACCACCCTCTGCTGGGGAACGGCGTCCACCCACCTGCGGGCAGAGGCGCGCGAGGGCCACTGGGGGATAGCCTGGGAGAGCTCTATAGCCGCGCACCGACGCTGGTCTTAGGTCGGGCATGTTCTCCTACGGGCGGCTCGTGGACGAAACTTAAAAAATAGTCCGAGCATGTGCAAAAATACTAACAAATCGTCGAGAAATCATCCCCAGGCTACTTTAAACATGTGCTTGATATTCCTCCTGTAGAGGAACAGGCCCGAATCAACCATGGCCGCGCACCGACACGGGTCCTGGCCAGACCGAGCCCAGGCCCAGGCTTGCTCAGACCTCCCGGGAGAGCGCTCCCGTTGTGGTGCACGACAGCGGCCGCTACCGGCAAGGGCCCCCTGCACAGTGAAAAGTCGGAGGGAGGGGGGGGCGGTCCGCACTTCCTGTCAGCGCAATCCGAAGACTACCCAGCCACTGTTTCGAAGCATGAATGAACTCCCCTCCGGCCACGGAGTCGAGGCTCATGGAGTGCCGTCTCCCAGAGGGTCCCCCCGTATGGTCTCCCGTGTGGTCTCCTGCGTGGCCTCCCGCACGGCCTCCCGCGCTGTCTCTCCCGTGGTCTCCCGCGTGGCCTCCCGCACGGTCGCCCGGATGATCTTCCGCGTGGTCCCCCGCGCTGTCACCAGCACGATCTCCCGTATGGCCTCCCACCTGCTCTCCCGCATGCACCTCCCGTATGCATCTCTGCATCTCCTGTGTGCTCTCCAGTATGCCCTACCGTGTGCTTTCCCGTGTGCCCTCCCGTCCCGCGTGGTCGCCCGCGTGCGCAGCGGAGAGTGCAGCAGGAGCTCCACCACACGAGAACCCTCCACAGGAAGCCTAGCCCTGGAACCCCAGGACGTCAATTGACTCTTGGCATGGGAACGTCACGTTGCCCATCGCAGAGCCATCGGAACCAATGAAACCCAGGGCGCCCTGGAGGCAAGCAGGGGGTGCTGCTTTGGGCGTTCTGCCGCCCAGTGTGTAATTTTCGGCTGCGCCACAATTTTCTCGCGGCCCACCTGCCCTGCGCGGCGTCGGTGGAGCCGTCCTCTGTGACGAGGACCTCCCCAGACCCCATCCCTCGCCTCCTCCTCCTTCTCCTCCTCCTCCTCCTCCTCCTCCTCCTCCTCCGCTGCCGCCGCCACCGCCGCAGCCTCCTCCCTCCTCCCTACTCCCTCCTCCCTCCTTCCTCCTCCCGTTGTCCTCCTCCTCCCCCCTTTCATCCCCCCTCCTTTCCTCCTCCCTCCTCTTTTTTCCTCAGCCTCCCTATCACTCTCTCCTTCCTCCCTCTCACCGGTCCTCCCCCCCGCTCCCCTTTTTCCTCCTCCTCCCCCCTTCCCTCACCTCCTCCCCTCCTCTCCTCCTCCCTTTCTCCCTCCTCCCTTCCTCCCCCCTGCCCTTCCCTTCACTCCCTTCCCTCCTCCTCCTCCCTCCCCGCCCTCCGCCCCTACCGCGCTCCGCCCTCCGCCCTCTGCCCTCCGCCCTCCGCCCTCAGCCCTCCTCCTCCTCCTCCTCCTCCTCTCACCTCCTCCTCCCTCCTCCCTCCTACTACCTCCTTCCTCCTCCTCCTCCCCCTCCTACTCCTAGACATCCTCCTCCCTCCTGCCCCTCCTGCCCCTCTTCCCCCCCCTTATTTTTTTTCCTCCTCCTCCTCCTCCTCTCTCCTCTTCCTCCTTTCCTCTTTCCGTCTACGCATGCGTTTCGTATCTCTCACCTTTCCTCCTCCTGCCTCCTCCTCCTACCTCCTCGTCCTCGTTCCTCGTCATTCTCATCCTCCTATATCTTCTCCTCTCCACCTTTTTCCTCCCACCTCGTTCCCCCTCCTACTCCTTTTTCATCCACCTTGTTCCTCCGCCTCCTCCCCCTGCTCCTCCTCACCTCCTAATTCATCATCCTCCTCCTGCTCATACACTCCTCCCCCGGCCGCCTCCGCCTCCTTCCCCTCCCGCCTCCACTTCCCTCTGGCATCGTCCTCAAGGGGCTCCTGGCTCCTTCCTCCCCCTCCCCCTCTCAGCGCCCCCCTCCTCCTCCTCCTACCTCCTTTCCGCCTTCCTCCGTCCTCCTCCTCCTCCTCCTCTCCTTACCCTCTCCTCCTCCCCTCCCTCCTCCTGCTCCTCCTCCCCCCCCCCCCCCCACCCCCCCCCCACCCCCCCCCCCTCCCTCTTCCTCCCCCTCACCCACCCCCCCCCCCCCATCCCCCCCTTCCTCCTCCTCCTCCTTTTTTCTTCTGGGTATGATTATTATTCTTCTTATTATTAGACTTATTGATACTATTAATATTACTAGTATTAGTATTACGAATGTTATTATTAGCAATAGTATTATTTCATAACTATTCGTATTATGATTACTACTATTGTTATTATAATTAATACTAATAGTAGTATTAGTAGTAGTACTAGTACTATTAGCATCATCAGTATTATCATTATAAGTAGCATGTTTAGTGGTATTGTTAATACGAGTAGCATTATTAATAATATTATTACTATTATGTTTAGTCTTACCATTATTATTACTATTAAGATTATTATTTTTGGTATTAATATTATTAGTCTGATTAGTAGTGCTTGTAATAATATTACTAATATTATTATTAGTAGTATTATTATTAGTAGTAGCATTATTCGTATCTTTAGTATTATTCTTAATGTTATTGTTATTAGTATTAGTAGTACTAGTGTTATGAATAGTAGTATTAGTACTACTACTATTCGTATTATTAGTATGATAGTAGTAGCATCCGTTTTACTACTATTAGTATTATGCTTAGTTTTACCATTGTTAATAGTAATATTATTATTCGTAGCAAAACTATTAGTAGCATTATTAGTCTTAATAATATTAGTAATATTAATATTATTATTATTAGTATTAGTAGTATTCGTATTAGTATTCTTCTTCGTAGTCTTAGTATTATTCTTCTCATAAATGTGATTCTTTTGTGGTATTAGTAGTCTTAGTATTATTAGTAGTCTTAGTATTCTTAGTAGTGTTAGTAGTATTCTTCTCAGAAGTATTATTCTTCTCATAAGTAGTTATAATAGTCTTCTTCATATTGTGATTATTATTCTTTTTTATAATTCTTATTATTCTGATTACTCGTAATATGCTTAGTAGTATTCTTCTTCTTAATATTAGTATTGATACTAGTAGTAGTACTATCAGTATTCTTGTTATTAGTATTAGTGTTATTCGTCTACTTCGTCTTCTTCTTGTTTTTAATATGTGTCTTCTTCGTATTCTGTTTCTCCTCCTCCCCCCCCTTCGGCGCCCTTCGGCGCCAGGAGAGAGTCACCTCCTGCACAACAAGAATGAAATGACACTCCCGCAACAAAGAGAAGAAAAGAAAGACAAGTCGAGCTGCCTGGCGAGCTCAGCGGCCTCGGGGCGGCGGCGGGGCCTCAGCCAACAGCTTGTCCACAGGGAAGCTCTGTCCGAAAAACTTGCCGCTGGACGGGTCGATGCCCTGCTTCAACAGGGCAAGAGAATGTCCAGCGTCCTTGTTCCGAGGTCCTCTCGGACATCTGTCCTTCAAAAACCTGGACCTCGCACTCCCGAAAGCTCCACATTTGACACACCAAGTCACCTTCCCTCCCCCCACACACAGAGCATGGGAAGGGTGGGAGGTGCGGGAAGCTCTAGGGAGTCCTGAACAAGGGGTAAAACAAATAGCTTTACGCGAAGCGCCCCTGTCCCCACACCGAACGCACATGAAACCTTTACCTACTCTGGCTAGCTGGTGGCCTAAGGGATCAGGAATCAGTTCAAGAAGTGCGGGTTTAGCTCGTACGGGTTTGCGATATTTCATGACATCAGGGAAATTATGCTTGGCTAGACGGTCGAGGATCACCGAGACCACGATCGCCGAACTCCTCACTTTACGAGCACCTAGATCATACTGGGCCCGCACATAAGGTAGATTAGCCTGGGCACTGGCTCCGACTGTGGCAAGTCTGTCAGCTTCACGATTCCCGAACCAAGCCCAATAGCACATGCCTGCATCCAGTGCCACCGTGCGGTCCAAATGCGATTTAACTTTGATCAAACTAGTATTAGATATCCCGATGTCTTCTGCAACCCGAAAGATACCGCGCCACAACTCAGAAAAACAAGTGTTCGCTAAATCTTGGCCAGGTCCAGCCTTCCAGATGTCAAGCACCATCTTACAGTCAGTGGCAATTATCGTTGGGGTTGCACCCATATGCCTGAGAGCAACCAGCAGCGCATGCACTTCTCCACACCCTGCAAGCTGCAAAAGGTGCGGGAGAGGACCGTACAAGCTGCCGTGGATGTTACCCCCTTCGTCTAACCCCACTACTGCATACCCTGCTCGAGCAAACGTCATACTATCTTGGTCCAATCCCGAGCCGTCAAGACACATGTAGCCTGAATCCAGCAGTCCAGATGGTGGGACGCAACTCCATCTAGGCTCCGCCTTGATGAACGGGGCTGGCCACTGCCATTCTGGACTTTCAAAAAGACATCTTGCGTAGCCTACGTCACACTCGTCGGCAAGTCTAGCTTCGTCAAGGTGTTCATCCAAATCCAGGCTACTCAAGGAAGACATCTGCGCATCGCAGTCGTAGAATCTGTGAGACTTGGCGCCCATCGCACGCTTGCACCACTGGCATTGGCCGTCAACGACTCTTCTGTCTGAAAAAAGCTCGTGCTGGGTCACGTAGCCTCCTGAAACAGCAATAGCTAGCCTGCTTGCCGCATCCCCTCGGCCATGCGCTCGAAGGTCTCGACACATAGCGACTAGCGGCTCCAAGCAGGGTGCACCTGGTAGGCCTTCGACTTTGCCTTGGGGTCCTCCTAAACTCTTGATGAGGCAGCGCTGGGTGCTCGCCTGGATGACGCTCTTGAACGTCCTCTTGCCGTGGCACCTCGGGCTCACAGGGAGCCCCTGGTCCGTCTCCCAGGAATCCCAAGACTTGATGGTCCAGCTTAGTCTATCCAGTGCGCACACTACTGCGCCAGCGGGTCCTTGTACATGTTCCCATCCTCGGTCAGGAATGGCTTGAAAATTCTCAAAACAAATCTTAAGGTGCGACTCTGGGGCCCAGCTCTGCTGCAACGCAGCGATCCACATCACAATTGGCCCGGAGTTCGCCGCATATTCAGGATCGCCTCGAGGATCAGGCCCAAGGAGAAATTCCAGAGTCCTCGAGCGCCCCTTAGGAGTACCAAAAACAGCTTGGGCCAACATGGCCCTCAGCTCGACCAGCTTCTTATTGGAGAGGCCCACCACCGAGGTCCCGTAGAGCGCCGCAGGGAAGGCCCCCACCTTGACGACCTTCGCGGAACCCTTGAATGAACTCCTGAGGCCTCGGAAACGGGACAGCCTGGGTCGTAACTTAGCGAAACGCCCCGTCTGCACCTTTGTGGCTCTCCTACCTTTGGTCAAACTCTGATCGATACCTAGATTTTTACCCGACTTAGCAATCACAAAATCCCATGTCTGCAATCTCCTCTGGATAACATCTGCAACTTCCGTGTTAGTTGACATGATGACGCCCTTACCCTTAGACACAACCAGCTGCAGCTTCTCGAGCTGCATACATATGAATGCCGCCGCACTGCCAATGATCACGCCGAGCCGATCGGCCACCAGCGAGGCTCCTCCTCCTCCTCCTCCTCCTCCTCCTCCTCCTCCTCCTTCTCCTGCTCCTGCTCCTCCTCCTCCTCCTCCTCCTCCTCCTCCTCCTCCTCCTCCTCCTCCTCCTCTCTCCTCCTCCTCCTCCTCCTCCTCCTCCTCCTCCTCCTCTTCCTCCTTCTCCCTCCCCTCCTCCTCCTCCCGCCTCCTCATCAATATCATCATCATCAGCGCAGCAGCACATCATCATCAGCAGCATCAGCATCATTATCAGGCATCAGCATCATCATCATCATCATCATCATCATCATCATCACCACCACCACCACCACCACCATCACCACCATCATCATCAGCATCATCATCATCATCATCATCATCATCATCATCATCATCCTCATCATCATCATCATCATCATCATCATCATCGTCATCACCATCTCCACATCATTAATCATCATCAT